TATGTTTATTTTCCCATACAATTCAAATCTAAGAGACTATCTAAGACTATCTTTCGCATTGCTTTAAAGTGCTACTTGCATGAAAATGGTCTTATTTCAAAACTTCAAGCAATACAAATATATGACTCATTTATATCTATTAAAAACAATTGCGGGAAAATATTTGTCTTGGAATTATCCCACATCAGAGAAATTTTGATTCAAAAGATGGAAGAACAAAAGGATTGAGTAAATGACGTCATCTACTCCAACATTTTTTGCCGAAATTATTAAGGATTTGCATCAATATTTTCTTGAAATCTGTTGCTTCATGATTATTAAACCCATATGGATAGGTCTATTTGATTTCCAAGTCTTTTCTAATGTTTCGCAATTTTCGCCCAAGTAGCCCTTTAAGATGATGTTAACAAATTATTTTACAGCGAAAATCGTTGCATCGCGAATTCTTCGTTTTGAAGTTGTAGTTGTTGTTGTTTCATTGTTTTGCTTTTTTCTTTCCTTCGACCTAAGAAGCGTAGCTTTTTGTAAACTCGTTCAGTCATTGGCTGATTTGTAGCAAGCTCTGCCCTCAAGACGCAGAAATACCTAAATCCTAACGATTTCCTTTGAACATTGAAGTCGCGATGCAACGGTTTCTGCAGTAACAAGCTGGTGAACATAAACAAATTCTTACCACACTGCATGTTTTCACGCTTTGCGTTGCTTGCCAATTGAATCTTGTGCGCACCAGTGTCCTGCACAAGAAACATTTATAACTTAAAGAATCACAACCAACCGATGTGCCTTGCGAGCCGAATCACCATTGTAGGTGGACACGAAAATGGTGGATTCGTAGAATTTCTTAAAGTGAGCGCTAATCGTCTTCCATTCCTTCAGTTTGGACAGAAATACCTTTAACTAAAGTACCTCATGACAGGTATCATAAATCTATAATCAATTGTATTTAACGCATTTAAACGTATGTAAACAATAACACGAGCACGCGCTGCATTGTGGTTTGTTGGGATTCTTTAACTAATTAACTCACAGGTACTTTCAATCTATAATCTATTGTATTCTTGACGCATTTGAACGTATGTAAACCAATCAATAAGACCAGCGCGTTGTATTGTGGTTGCTTAGGGTTCTTTAAACCATGTTCGTGTTTGAGCTGCTCAAACCGAATACTTCTGACATACCTCAAACGTCGAATGAGGCTCAATATGGTACGTCTCTAGCCCATCGTCAATGACACCACTAAAGAAATACATATGGAATCAAAAGACTGAATTGAAAATGTTACAGTGACGTTTAATCATACACTGACTCCCCTTAGCGATGGGTAGGCCAGTATAAACTTAACCTGTCGGTAGCTCCTTTCACTGATTACTAGTCTTATTCGTTTTTCTAATCGTGTCCCTTTTGGCATTCCAGTCACCACTTTCATGTACAGACATCGATGAACACATTCTTATTTATCTCATTTTTCAAACATCCTTTCTCGTAATCATACCCATTAAAATGCCTTTCAAAAATACGGTCAATTGATCTAATTGTTCTTTACAGCTGACGCTTTTACGTCATGTATCGTATACGCAATGCATTGTAGGATATGTTCGGGACAGAACATGGCGTATTTGTTTTGTTTTCTCTAGGGATTTGATCCAACAATGTATCGAAAGTCAAGTAGTGACTTTAAAGGTTCAGAGGTCAATTCAACGTCACCTCAAAGCCCTTTTAGAGATGCGATACAATGACCACCGAAGTATTTTAGTATGGAATATTATCTTTGAACAGTATCTACCAACTTCAACTTTTTCTGGAAATAACGATAAGTAACACTTTCTTTTAACTATAAAAAAATTGTTATC